GTCGGTAATTTTAGTTTTTTAAATTAATGTGAGGAAAAAGAATCATTGGATCACTGATACTTTTTGTATTAATATATTTTTGAATTTATACAGGGAGAAAAATTATAGATTTGTAGAAATACATCAAACCTAAATCATTTATATTTGATGTTTAATAAATATGCCACATAAAAATCATGATCCACATTGTAGAATAAAAAAAATTGTATGAACCCGTGCGTGGCACGGGTAGAAATACTAGTTATTATATATGTAAAGTTGAGTATGTTTGTTGTGGTGTTGACATGTGGCATGCCACATGTGGCATCTGACCTTCTAATAGATAATAAACAATTGGAAGCACGAAAATGAAAAACTTTAACTGAAAATTAAACTTTAGTTATAATAATTTTTAAAATACATGGTTTTACAATTACCTCCTAGGCCTAGCTCAGAAAAATAAATAAAATAGATGAGAAACTAATATCTTAAGCCGGATCAAATCCTTTTTGAATTAACTGAATTTACAGATCTTTTGATAGAAATCTAGAATGCAAAACTCATTTAAGACTAATTAATGAGGTGGAGGCATTTCATTGGTTCATTAAGCTTCTCTTTTTAAAAGATCTTTAAATATATTATGTTGCATTATATTATATGAATATTATTTTTTAGCATTAAAAAACATTACTTTGATTATATTTTGTATAAAACTTTAATATTTTCTAACAATTCAATAAATATATATTTCAACATTGTAAAATTTACACTGTATTTTAAATATGCATATTGATTATAAAATTTTAAAGAAGAGTATGTATAAGACTCTTTATTATTAATTTAAAAATATTTCACTTTCAGAAAAAATGAAAAAACATTTCACCTTTAAAGATATTAATTTGTTTTTGGTATTTTTATGTTTTATTTAATGTAATTTTTTTCAAAAAAATAGTTATAGAATTTTTAGTGCCTGTACATGAATATTTCAAAGTATACTTTTTATTTAAAAAACATACTCCGTATATCTTAGAGTGAAAAAATATTCATTTACAATAAATAAAATTATATATATAGAATGTCAAAAGTTTAGAATGTATATGAGCACGTGTGAAGCACGGGGTTAACACTAGTAAGAAGGTATTATTGTTTGTGTGTATGGGAAACACTACGCTGTCAGACCAATGTAATTAGAACTAGACTGGCCGGTCCAACTAGTCGGATCGCAAACTGGTGAATCGGGTCGACCCGCCCAACTCGCGGGTTTAGTCCAAAAGTTTTTTTAATTTTTTTGGATATAAAATAAAATGACGGAGATATGATTTAAACACTAAACCTCATCACACAACTCTCTTAGACTATAACCACTTAAGCTACTCAACACTAGTTACCAAAGTCATGCAGAATCATAGTTTAAAAAACTGGACTGGAGTGGCCGGTTTAGACCGAGATTTGGTGGACCGTGGCAAAACCGGTCTGTCCAGCCCCAAAGACCGCCATGTGCATCGAACTGGCTTAAACCGATAACAACTGGCTGGTTCCACTGGCCATTTTTTCCTACATAGCTGTCCCAAAAATTGTTACTAATGAGGGTTTCGAACACCTGCCCTACTTGAATTTTTAAATATGGGTGAACCACTAGATCTACCACTTGAACTACCAGTCCGACCAGTGAACTAGTACCTTGATCGTTTCAGTCGCCGGTAGAGGTGGAAATTGGGTCAACCAGATTGGTTTCAGGTTGGATTTTTTTGGTTCGGATATATGTTATAATTGGATCGGTTTAATTTTGGTTCAGATTTGATTCGGTTCTATACATTTTTCGATTAGGTTCGGTTTCGAGTCGGTTCAGATACGATTCTGTTATGAATCGATTTGGATAGATATCGGTTTGGATATAATTTGAATCAAATATATTTCGGATCAAATATATTTTTGATATATATTATTTTCTAATTAAAATTTGATTATTCATGTTTTTTTTGTTTTATCACATTTATCAATCTATCATCAATTCAATACCTCATATTATTTTATATTTTTTCTAATTATATTATCTCTACCCTAAATAGTCTTTCTTTTTTGACTTTTTAGTGATATTTTACAAATCTGGACTACAAATTATGAAAAAAATGTATAATTAATTATGATATAAATTTAATATAATTAAATTGATTATAAAATTTAGTTTTGATATATCAAATTTTTCTCACATCTACTAATATATTTATGTTTATAAATGAAAAGATAAGAGATAAATTCAAATAGTGTTACGTTCCAACTGAATACAATTTGGTAAAAATTGAGTGAAATTGGGTGAAATTAAGTGAATTTTATTTAATTGAGTGAAAAATTTATAAATTATTTGAGTGTATTTGGTTGAAATTAGATAAAATTAAATTTAATAGAGTCAAATATAATTAATTTTACACCTAAATGTAATGGTGTAGATCAAATTTGAAAATTATAACACTAAATGCTGCCACTAGAGAGTCTTTTCAAAATGCTAACAATAACCAATAAAATTTATTGTAATATTGGGTGAATTGGGTGAATTAACCAACAAAAATTTATTGTAATATTGAGTGAATTGGATTATATGACTAATATTGAGTGAATTAGTTTGAAACTAATCAAATTAACTCTCAAACCAATAAAATTTATTGTAATTGGATGAAACTAGGATAAAATCCAATTATTTCATACAATTCATCATAAAATCCTTTTGTCCCAAAAAAAAAATATTACACTTCACTATTTAAAAATTACAAAAATTTATTTGTTTGTGCATTATCATTTATTATTTGATAAAATAAACTACTCCGTATTATTCTTGTAACATCTTGTTTTGTAAAATTTTTGAAGTATTTTTTTAAATATGTAAACATTTGTTTATTTCTATACCAATCTTTAAATAAAATAAATTTTAAAAAATTATGTTTTTTGCTATTTTGCGATATGTAGCATTTTTTTTAAGATGGGGGGAGTTTTTTCTTCAAAATAAGATTGTTTTAATCAGATTTTGTAACTTAAGACTGAAATTAGTATTGTATTTTTCATATAATATCTAACCAAAGACTTAATTTTTTTATGCTCAAAATTTACCTCATTCCTTTTCACTTTCCCTGGTTAATCTTATCAATTTTCTTATGTCACCATTCAACTCATTTCTCAATTTCCATTCACCTTCAACTCTTAGACCTAATTGTTTTCAATTGATTCTTCTCCTTGTTTTTCAAATATTTTATTCCCTTTAATTTTGTTAATAACAAAATAGTTGGCCCACCTTATTCATCCAAAATTTTATATCTATAACTTATCTACAATTTCTAAATATAATAAACTTAAGGCACAAGATTTTGTAAATTTTTTTCAAGATGATAATCCATTTTATGAGAGAATGAGAAAGTAATGTAATTAGTTCAAATAGTAAGATAAAAGTAAATATTTAAAAATATAATATGCTTATTGAAAGGCAAACACAGTTATCAATTTTAGTTCTAATCGGGTTCGAATATTATTGGTTTTGGATCTAATCGGTTTCAGATTTAATTGGGTTCGGATCTAATCAGTTTCGGGTTTAATCGGTTTGGATATTATCGATTTCGGATTTAAATCGGATATGAATTATTTAGTTCGGTTTTGGTTCAATTCGGATCATTTCGGATTTTCGGTCATAGATTGGATCTTCATTTTTCGGATCACTTCGGTTTCGGTTTCGGTTTCAGATAATTTAGTTCGGATAATCGGTTCTGGTTCTGTTTTGCCTGGTCTAGTCGCCGGTTCGGTTTTGAAAACTATGTGCAGAGTAGTATACATAGTCTTTTTTATTTGTATTGAGTGAATTAAAGAAACTTCTAACTATTTGAAAGAATGAACATGTTTGTGTAGTGTAATTATTTTATAAGCTTTTAAAATATTTCAAAGTAAAAAATAAATATAAATTTTGTATTAAAATAATAATGAATAATTTATATCTAAACAAATATTATCACCTATGAAATGAAGAAATATATACTAATTATAATAAAATATAGAAAGTATGAAAGAGTATATGAACAATGACATTGAAAATAACATGGAGAAGAAAAAGAACACAATATTAAATATTTTATGTAACATTGAAAATGATATTTACATCTATCTTTTCTTAATATGTGTGTCCAGTTCAAATGTGAAGATTAAAGTTTGACAGAGGAAGTATGTGCATCGTATTATTTAGAAATAATGGGCATATTTAAGTTATGTGATAATATTTTATTATCTTTAAAAATAGTTAACAAAACTTGATATTATTTAATTTTCTGTTATCTAAACAAAATATGTACATTATATACAAAGTCATGGGTTGTTGACCGGGTGATTGACCCAAGTCAACCCGATTCAACCAATTGACCCAGTGACAAGTCCAGTTTAATATCCCGTCCAGTTTTCAAAACATTGTGTGAGACGTGATGTGGCTTCGCTAGTTTTTGGAAGATAATAAAACGTACAAGTCATAGCAATTATCAATTGAGTACTACTCCCTCTGTTTGGAAAAACCCTTCTCATTTGATTTGGAGGCAAAAATAAGGAAGTGTTAAATTATAGTTGATTTCCAATTTTGCCCCTGATGTGATGGGTAAAAGTAAGATGTGATGGATAGATTATTAGAGAAAAAGTATGATGTGATAGATAGGGTATGAAAAAGTAAGGATAAAAGTGGTTTTTTAATAAAAAGGGGAAGTGTTTTGTTGAAAGTGGAAAAAATGAAAGAGGAAGTGTTTTTGAGAACGGAGGAAGTAAATAATACGAAGTCATAACAATTTACATAACATCATCTTGGGATAAACCTAATATTACCTACCCTACAATAGAACTTGGATAGATGCTAGAGTCACAAAAAAAAGTTACAAAATTCACAAACTTCTTATTTCTAAGCCCCGCTAAAAAAAAGTCTCAAATAATTTTTAAAAAATTTAAAATTTAAATGCAATAGACAAGTTGGTGAATTTTGTTAATTTTTTTTGTGTGACTCCAGCATTTCAATAGGTGCAGCCACCTCGGCCTTGGGCACTTTCCCATTAAGCATCTCAATGACTCCTTGGAGGGCAATGTCGGCATCCTCACTCCGCATTAGCTCTTCCGCAACTTCTGCTGGCGTCGCATTCACCATCTTCAATAGCCTCTCTACCTCGGGGAACAGGGCGTGGTCATGTGAGATTTGGAGATAGTTATGAGCCAAAACCTTAAAGCCGGGCATGGTAAGGTACGACATGTGAATGTGCATGTCCATGCGCCCCGGGCGCAACAAAGCAGGGTCCAGCTTCTCCTTGTGATTGGTAGTTAGCACGATGATCCTCTCGTCACCACAGCACGACCATAGCCCATCAACAAAGTTCAGCAGCGAAGCTAGATCATTCTAAACAAAATTTGAATAAAATATAGTGGTTATTATAATTGAGCAAGATGGGTGAAACTCACCCCATCGTATTCATTCAATTTGACTTTTTAGGTCAAATTGAATGAATTTCGATAATCAATTAAAAAAAAGTTACACTACATATAAATATAAACATGATTTAATTAGATTTATTTTGAAAAAAACTTTAGGAAAATGATTTTCTTTTTATTAATATGTGATGCAATTTGCATTCAAATGATAACCAATGTCAGTCTAATTTGAGCAAAAAAAATCAAGTTGAACGAATGCCCATAGAAAGAGAAAGTATACGACAAGACTCACCTGGTCCTTGTTCTTTTCATCCTCAAAGTCATGACTAGAGTCACTATCGCTGTCCTCTGGTGGAGCCTTGGTTCGATTTTTTGGGAGGCCTTGGGTACGATCAATATCCTCAATGATGACTATGGATCGACTCGGTAGCCACAATTACAAGTCTCTCAAAGCATAGTAGCGACCAAGCATACTTCCAAGCTGCACATCATAGATGTCAAATCTGAGATGATTGGCCATGGCAGCTATCAAGCTAGACTTACCAGTTCCAGGAGGGCCATAGAGCAAGTACCCTCGTTTCCAAGGTTTCCCGACCCTCTTATAAAAATCCCTCCTCTTTACAAATCGGTCCAAGTCATCCATAATCATTTTCTTCATCTCAGGGTCAATGGCCAGCTTCTCAAATGTGAACGGATGTGTCATTTTAACGCTCGAGTGCCTGCTTCCATATCCATATACACTTGCACAGTCATAAATCCTTAACACTCTCCCTTCACGAGTTATGTCTTGTGACGTTGAAATGACAAAGGGCAAATAAGAATCACAAATCTTTTTCTTGTGCTTCTTGTCGAAGCTCAAGGAAAAATACATATTCCCGATGACAGGGGAGTGGCTTGGGCGCTTCTGCACCTTATTGTGATCACTTGAATCACCACCATCATCTTCATTAGAAGAAGTGCTATTGAGAGTCCAATTAAGACCTACTCCCTCGAAGGTGTCGAAGAAAGTCACCCCTGTTACCAACTTGTAGCTCATGGTATCCTCATTTGTTGCTTTGCTAACCTTTACATGAAAAACAAGTTTCCTAATTCAGTAATTTTCTTAACAAATTGTGGTGTATACTCATGGAATAATTGTATTACTCAATTGATAATGTTTGGCTAGTACAATATGTATAGAGAATGAAACAAGAGTGACTAATTACAACAAATTTAAATGTCTAACATAAACCATATAAATACACGAAACTAAGGTTTAATGTATACGAGGTGACAAAATAGCTCTTCGTTAGCAGACTCAGTTCTGTAAACAAATCAGCAGGCACAAGTTCTAAAATTATTCAATATTCATACTAATACAAAAAAAGCATTTTGTGTTTTAAGTTACAGAAATTGTCAAGTTTTGACCCTCACACAGCCTTCAAAAAACAACATTAATTCCATGGGTCCAACTTTTGTTTCCAAATTGCTAAAACAAACCAAAATCTAATAGTAAAATTAATTCTCTCTTCAACTAGAAATTAGCCAACATAACATTTTAAAATAGAGGGGATTACCTCGAGACAATCCGCAGAGTCATTCATCTTACTACACAAGTAAATTTGGCAAGCAGCAAAGACCTCATTCCTGTTCATATCGTTCTTCTCGGGGATGATAAGGCTGAAGATGTCTGGCTGGGGTTTCGAAATCTCTCCGAACCACCGCATGAAGAGCTTGTAGAAGTAATACCGAACGGACGCCGGAACAAACTGGTAGAAAGCTTGCTGTAGCAGAGTGTAGGTGGCGCAAAAGGAGGCATATGCCGAGAACAGCGATGCTCCGGTAGGCATTCTTGCTCCCAGTGATGATGAGTAGTATTTCATCGTCATCGCGCAACGAGGTCACGGGTATTGCCTTAACTGGCTCTCGGCGGTGTCCGGCGTCCGCCGCGGGTGGGGTTTTTCCGCAGAGGGTTTAGGACTATTAGGTCTTTAAAGAATTCAACTTATACGGGGATATTTGTACGTGGGAATTTAGGTTTGTAAAAAGGTCGGTTTTAGATTCCAAACCCAAATCAAACTCTCATTGTTTTAAAAGGTGTGGGCCGTGTGGTTGGGAGAGAGATCTTGTACCAGAGTGCATCTTTGGGTACATATCATTTTTAAGAATTTTTCACATAAAAAAATCTTTTTTTATTTTTTTAATTTAAAAAATACTTATTTAATTAGTAAAGAAATACTTATTTTGTTCATATGTAAGTCCGTGTACAACTTTGATTATAATTTGGTAGAACTTCAATTATAATTTGGTGCAACCTAAAAATTTTTGTTGAGTAATGCTAGAGTCATAAATAACTTTGGACACGAACGACACAAATTTGTCATTTGTGTATTTCAATTTTATTTTGTAATTATTTAAAATCATTTTATTCCTTTGAGAAAACGACAAAAAAAGTTTGTTTATATGTACCCGCACATATTTTTAAGAAACAATTTGTACTCGCACATATAATTTTAACCGTTATATATTTAATATGAATGGTCGAGTATGGCTTAACCAGTTCTGACCCGTTTAAGATTCGAACCGCCTAAATAAGTACCGAGTATATACTGCTGCCGTCCTTTGCTCTGTAGTTCTTTGATTTATGATATATTATAAAATCCGAGTAGTTTATAATTTCGGATTCATTTATTTCTTGTTTTAGAAATCTTTCAAAATAAGACTAAAACATAGAGAAAAATACAAAAATAGGACTTTTATGTTTTTTTCCTGAAATAGGAATTCGCACTGTGGTAATGTGGTTGTAATGTGGCACTGTACATGTGCACATTACTATACTTTTTTAGTAATGTACATGACCACGTTTGGTAATGTACGTCCTGTTTTGGAAATAAATAAATGGAAGTCCTAATTTGTTACATTTTCAATGTTTTAGTCCGACTTTGGTTTTTCTCCCTTCTTATTTTGGCTCCGGGCCACTCGTCTACATGTCGTTATAGCTTACATATTTCATTGAGTTTATTCTTTTTAGTTTTTTTTTTCTGAAAACTCGTGTGACTATATTTGTTGTTCATCACGTGACTAAAAATTGTTTTGGTTTTAGAAAATAAACTCATTTTATCTATTGCTAATTGATTCTTTTTATCCCTGTGTTTTAAAGCCCTTTTCTTGAATTCATATTTATGTCTTTTGTATTTTTTAATTTTTTACTACCTCCGTCCTTAAAAGAGTTACCTCTTAACTATTTCGGTCTCTCGATAACTTTTATTTGTTTTCATGTTTTTAATTATCATTTAATAAATAAATTATTCTTGTCACGTATTGTTTTGTAGAGTTTTCGATGTAGTTTTTAAATATGAATTTTTTTATGTCTTTACCATTTTGTAAATAAAATCATTTTAAAAGTCATAAGATATTGCATGTTGATCAAATAAGGTAATTCTTTTAAGGACAAACAAAGTTTTATTTTAGTCTATTTCTAACCGATGATTGATGTTGGTATAATATAATAAATCTAAACAAATCTTGATACGGAGTAATAAAATATCAAAGTCTATACAACTTTATATATGTACATTAAAACAATTTTTTGATTTTAAATAATCTATAGATTATTAAAAATTCATCAAAATGTTTGAAAACTCAAACTGAATACACCATTTGTCCATAGGTTTATTTCTCATTTGACTTTTCACCAATGCAATACTATGATAATTAATATTTCTATTTATATATAAATATATATTACTAAAAATAATATATTTCAAAATTATATTTCAAAATTATATTTCAAAATGAATCTATTGATATATTTCAAAACTATATTTGTATATAATAATTCAATATATATTTTTGGTAGTTTATGGTCAAAGTTTAAAAAATTTGATCAAAAAAGTCAAACATGGTAATACATTTAAAAATGGAGAAAATAGAAAGGATGGTTTTGAAAACTTACACTCAATTTAAATGATGAAAAATACAAAGATATCATTCTTTTAATAGCACATGAGGGAATAAATCTCAATTATTAAGTATCAAATAGATAATTATTGCTTATTACGGACTGATTTAGAAAAAAATACTCCCTTTTCCTTCTCAAAAAAGTCCCGCAAAAAAGTTCCCCTTTCTTTTTTCATCCTTCTCAAAAAAACACTTCCCTTTTCCTTTTAAAAAGTCACTTTTACCCCTACTAATTTTTAACCTACCTATCACATGACATTTTTTCTTTATTAATCTATCCATCGCATCCTACTTTATCAATCACATCAAAGGGCATTTTTGGAAAGTCAACACCAAAATACACTCTCTTTAAATCCTCAAAAAGTCATACCGGGAACTTTTTTAAGGGATGGAGGGAGTATTTTATTACTAGAAAGAATCACTTTGAGAATTTGATTTAAATATAATGAAATTTAAAAAAACGTGGTTTTCTATGTACTTTCAAGAGTCATCTATTTTGAGATGGAGAGAGTATATCATCTTGAAGATTTGGTGAAATATTAACATCAATCTTTTCTAGTATATATATATATATATATATATATTGACAGTTTATTGCAAAAAGATGCATAAAAAACAGGCAGCCTATGTGGTTCCACAGGTCACATCTGGAAAACAAAATTCGGTACTCCCTATATAATTTACACTCTTACAATGATCATCCTGATCTTCCATCTCACTATGGAACTTCAATCTTCTTCTGTCCTGGTGGACTATCTGGGTGAACAAAGAACAGCCTACGATCGTGTCCACGACCAGAAGAACAGCATACAAATAGGCAATGAAGATCCCTTCCAAAGCTGCTGATAAAATCCCTGCAGTCCCTTCTTGGTCGCGATTCGCCTGGACAACTCTGCACTGGAACAGAAATTCAACTGCAGCCAATGCAGAGTTGGTCCAGACGGTTAACCAGAGCGCAGCTCCCTCGTTTCCCTTGATCAAAGCGCATGCCTTGAGAGTTTGGGTGAAGCCCGCGCTTCCCTCAACTCCTGAGACAATCAAAGCCGTGTTGGAGATTATGAATGTGTAGCCAAGAATCAGGCAGGAAACGGCAGCAGCGAAGAATCCGTGGGCCCAATGCACCAAGTAGAAAGAAATGGCTTTTGCAGAGAGGGTAAGAATGGAATTGCAGATGTGGGTATGAACCAAGTGGGTGTAGATTCTGAGAACCCGTGCAAACGAGCGGCTCTCTGGGTTTTCTTGAACCAAGAGATGGTGAATGACAGAGGCTTTGCTGAGGAGGAATGAGGAGATTGTGGAAGGGAATGCCAGGACAGATATGGCAATGTTCTGGGAAATCTGTCTTTCGAGGAACGAAGACGAAGGGGGCAAAAGAGGGAGAATTCGGGCACGAAGAACGATGGTTTGCAGAAGGAGAACTGATGCGACGAATGGCAGAGCAAGTAGGGGTGGAGTGGTGGTGAAGTGGTGGAAGTTCTGCAGAAATGTGAATGTTGATCTTCTTAGAATCTTTGATGGTTTTGCCATGGAAACTGCTGTTGAAGAAGGAGAAGAAGAAGAAGAGGGAGAGTTTGAGTGGGAGAAGGAAGTGATTCGGTTGAGAAATGAGGAAAACGGATGGAGAAAAGGAGGAGAGAAAAAAGTAGTTGAGGAGTTGTGTGAGTGTATGGGACTTGTTTTTTTTACTTATTGGAGGTGACCTTGTTTTTTTGGACTATCTTTGTGCTTGCGTCTTTGAAAAAAATCCAGAAGAAAAATCTCTCAAAGCTCTCATAAATTAGTTTCCTAAACTCATTGTCTTGGTTCATATAATCATACCCCACATTGATGATAACCAAAAAAAAGATTATTAAAAAAATCTACCGTCATAATACTAGCCATTAACGACGAATCTAAATGAGAAATCTTCTTAAATAGAACTAAAACTTTGAATACGTATCAAAATTAAACATCTTAAATAAAACATTGTATTTTTTTATGTCCTAAAAATGAGCATTGGTATAGTAGATTGGCATTTCAAAGTATATTTTAGTAGAAACATTTGCTCCATATATGACCAAAAAGTATAGTAGTATATGTTTCCCTAAAATAGACCAAGTATGTTTTATTCCTTTAAGACACATATTTTCGTATGATCTGTTATATATACTTTCATTGGCAACAAATATTAGATAATGAATGATTATACAAATAATTTTACGAATGTGGCCACTAGCAATAAGTGTTGGATAATGACTGATTATTTTAATGACTATTCTATTCTACTTGAATTGTATAATAAGTTATTTTTCTCAATGAATTTGCATTTTAGAACTTTCCATTGTTAAACATTAAAGTAAATAGGACTACTCCTGTTTAAGGAAAAATGATATATTTAAGTCTCATTTGCCTAAATTGCCTTTTTTAGTATTATGTATTGGTTAAATTGCACGTTGATCCTTTAACTCAATAAGTTATGTATGGTAACTCTTTCACCTCAAAAAAATTCTATAAATAATCCTTCAACTCACATTAGCTACTAGTCCTTCATTTATTTTATAAAACTTTTGATATTGTTTTAAAATATATAATTTAAGTACATTTTATTTTATACAAGTTTATAAACAAAATAATCTGTAAAAGTTGAAATTTTGCATGTTGCATGAAGGGAGACAAAGTTTTCGGATCGGAGGTTGTAACGACCAAAAACCGACTTAATAGTTAGCCGTTATTTTAATAAAAATAAATATAATATTGAATTACTCATAAATGTGAATTATTTGTAATGTTGACCTTTTTATTCAAAAATTAGGTTTTCGATAGTGACTAATGGTATATAACTTGTAAAATTTGAACTTATGTGTAGAGCGTGATGAGTAAAATAGATTTTACAATTCAATAAATAAATTACATATGTAAGTGATGGACAATAAATCCACCAAATGATCCGATTTACTAAGCGGATCGTAAGAACAAAATTAAGAACGAGAATTCGAGAATTGAATATGTTTTTATTAGCTTGATCTAGCTTGGGTTTTCCCCTTTCGGGTCCCCTCTATTTATACATGGGTTCTTGATAATTAAGGTAATTCACAATCACAGGAAGTCCACTCCATCGATGACGCGATCCCCTTTTCCCGGCTTCGTAACGGCCAATCTGCTCCGTCTCCTTCTCCGGGGTGACTCTGCCAGCTGTGTTTGGCATGAGATTGATTGGGCCTAATTCCACGGGCCGGCCCAAGCTTGAGTATTTTACAGGTGCTTGACCCAGGGTTGTGTAAATGATTCATCCGAGCCGCCCACTGGTTATCGGCCCATCATAAGCCCCCCAACTCCTCAGTCCTCAACTGGGCTTAGTGGAGGAGTGGGGAGTTTTCAAAGTCCACGTGGGCGCTCCAGCGGGGACCTGGGCCGTTCCTTGGGTTCTGCGTGACGTCTGGGCACGATCTCCACAGGTAGGTAATCATAACCCGCCGATTCGCTTTCCTACTGTCAGTTAAAAACCGCCGCTAGACGCCATCTTTCTCTCTTCGTTTCCTTCACCATTGTTCGTCTGCAAACCCGCTGCTATCCGACCCGTTCTTCTTTCCTTCCAGGTCAGTTACTCTTCTCGCCACCATGATTGTTTCAGACTCTGATTCGGCTACCCTATCGTCCAATTCTCGCCAAGCCGATCAATCGGCCTCTGGCCGTAACCCCGGCCACACTCCATCTCCCCAGCCGTCGCCGTCGGCCGTTCCTGGTCACAAACGGCGCCGATTGAGGAAACAATTCTCTTCCTCAACTCCGGCGGATGAGGGGTCGAGGGTTAGATTGGACGAGAACATCATGGCATTGTGCCATTGTCAAATCACTGACCGGGGGTTCGCCGATGCTACCGACATGGTTGGCCCCTCCATCGAGGTCAGGAGACCTACCAGCACCCAAACTGCTCTAGACGCACCCTCGGGGTTCTTCACAGTCCACCTGGCGTCTCTGAAGAAGGGGCTGCGCTTTCCACTCCACCCGTTGTTAGTCGAGTACCTCAACGAGGTGGACCTTCTTCCGTGCCAACTGGTCCCCAATTCTCACCGGTACATCGCCGGTTACTTAATTCGCTGCAAGGCTGTGGGGGTGAAACCAACCTTGGACCATTTCATATTCACCTTCAAACTGACCAAGGGCCACAAGGACTGGGCGTCCTATGCCAGCCTTTCTCAGAGATCCAGCAAACTCTTTGCGAGTGACAAGAAGGGCTCAACCAAGGACTGGAAGCCTTTCTTTGTCTTCGTTTCGACGGGGCCCGAATCTCCTTTTACGGGTTCAGGGCGCCCCTCCTTCCGTCGCATCCCCTGCCCCCGAGCTGATGCTACCCTCCTATCCATCTCTCGCCAACTCTGCAATAAAGGAGTTATGAACATCAAGGAGGTGGTGACAGAGGAAACCCTTGCCGGGTTGGGGTTTGAGTTTGTCCCAGATGAGCTTCGCCATCAACCCGACCTACTGAGGGACATCCCCGGGGGGCGTCAGCCTGACCAGCCGAAGGACATTCTTGAGGAAGGTCTTGACTGTGGTCCTTTTGGTAATTGACCTTTCCTGTCCACCCACATGTTTAGTTTATCCTTTTCCGAGGCTGATCATTTTCTTTGTTCCCATTGGAACTACAAGATTCAGGTGAAGAGATGGACAGCGAACTCCTGCTTAGTCGCTTCACTGCTGGGAGGAAGAGGAAGAGAGAGACGAAGGGTCAGGGCAATCGCTCTTCGTCCCGCCACGAGGAGGGTCCTTCTCATGAGCCGGCTGTGATCGTGGTGGAGGACCGGGATGAGACTGCCCTAGAAACGGGTACAATGACTGGTCATTCCCCCCCCCCACTCTGTGAGGCCAGGTGGCGACCTAGCTGGGTCGTCCCTGGGTATCGCCTCGGAGCGACCTCCTTCGCCTCCCGCAGTGACCTACGAGGTGGCGACTGGTGGTCGCTCGACGAGACTCTGCATTCCTCCTCTGCCCCAAAACTTGGGGGACGTGCAACTGGAGACCTTGATCACCCTGCCCGCGGAGGACCAAGCCCGCATCTCGGCCGGTTCTGAGGACGACCTCGATAACATGGTCCTCTTGAGGCTAAGCCAGGTATTTGCGCTGTTTCTCCCTGCACTCGATTTCTTCTTTTTACGCTCTTGACCCCCATGCCTTGGTGCAGGCCACGCTGGGGATGATCGAGGTGGTTGGCAGGAGACGGGGTCGTCAGGCCGCTGCGGATGAGGCGATGAAAGCAGCCGAGGCCAAACAGGGGGAGCTGCAGGAAGAGGTCGCCCGACTCACGAGGGAGTTGGAGGAGGAGAAGGATCGCTGCGCTGCGCTTGCGATGGAGAAAACTTCCCAGGAGAGCCGCTGTGCCGCCCTTGAAGCAGACAAGGCCTCCTTGTCCTTGGGGGTAGAATCTGTCTCTGCCCGCGTGCTTGAGCTGGAGGGGGAGAAGTCCGATCTGATCCAACAGCTGGAAGTGGAGAGGGGCGACCGAGCCCGCTATGCAGTGGAGGCAGTAGAGTCCTTCAAGTCCTCCCCTGACTTCACGGTGGTCGCGATGGAGCGGATGGTGGAGTTGACAGCCGCCTGGCTCAAAACCGAACCTGGGGCCCAATGGATGGTCAAGGAAGGGACCAAATCCTTCAACTGTGGTCTCTTCCGCGCCCAACAGGTCTTCCGTGCTAGGCTGGCTCAGCTCCCCAAGGGATTCTCCCTTCCCGACCTTGGCTTCCCTCCTTCCTGTCGTTCCTTGGCCGAGTTCGACCCCAGTCCTTATCTGGACGGGGGGAGCTCGAGTGCGTCGGAGGAAGTGGAAGAAGAAGAAGTGGAAGGCGATCAAGGCGACCAGGATCAGGGGACCAGCTTAGCCACCTCCAAGGCGGGTGAAAATCCCAACACTAGCGTCTAACTTCTCCTGTTGTTCCCCCAGAGTTTTGTAGACATTGTTGTTGTTTTTTCTTTCTTTTTGGAGTGACTTGTCGTTTTGATACAGTGCTACTTCTATATTATTCGACTCGTTGGATGCATCATACGTCTCCTTCCTTTAGCGTTTTACTCTCTTCTCTAGGTTAGCTGATCTGCATGTATGTTTTAATTTGGGCCCAACTCTTAATTCCGGCCCACTTGACTGCCCAGCCCCAACCTCTGGATTGGCCAGCATGCCGCCCAACTGACCCAATGCTTTTCACAATCTCTGATTAGACCTTCGCGCGGCTCAATGCTGCTTTATCGGTTCAGCTACCATGAGACTTGACCGTCTCTTCGGTTTCTTCGCCGGGCTTATTTATAAGCCCCTTAACCCTCATTCTGTTCCATCGCCAAATAACTTCCCTTTCTTCATTATTGCTATGTCTGAAGGAATTCCTGTCTCCCTGAACCTTTCCGATGGGCCGGCTCTTTCTTCGCCGGAGCCTGCCTCCTCCCCCAAGTCAATCAATTCTAATGACTGGGGGGGGCTAGACCCTTACGAATTCTGCCGCCGATTGCCTCGCCGGCAGTGGCCGTCGGTGAAACCGCCGCCACAACCGCCAAACCCTTATGATGACTTCAGTGAAGCATACAAGGCCCTCTCCGCCAACCGCCTGCCTGACGGAAGGATTGACTGGGACGCTCCATGCCCCCTCCACTCCCTGCAGTGCATGGCCTGGGAGAGCTTTCAGGATGAGCACTTACCCCTCCTGGAGCATGAGTGCGCATACTACGCCAGTCTTGAGCGATGGACTGGCAAAAGTCGCACCAGTTCGCCGGTGAGGCCTAAGGAGGAGGTTGTGTTGGGGAAAAACTGGATTTCAGTCCACCTCGCCCCTCCAACCGTGCGGCTTCCCGGAGAACCCGTAGGCGACCCGGAGTAGCTCGATCGGCTTCAGGATCTCCCTCCTCATCTAGGTGATGCTGGTTGGGGTTCTGGGGGCGACCGACCCTATTCCGCGTTGGGGAAGAAAGGTGGTCGTCCCGGACGGCCGGTGACCGGTGTTCCGCCGGCCCATGGAGCTGCAGAACTACCCTTCAAACCTGCCTGTCCCCCCTAGGCCTTTTGCTCACAAAACTTTAGATTGTTCCTTTTGCTATAGGAAAAGTATGGAAAAGTATCCCTCCTTTATGTAGAGATTGTTCTCCAATGTATTGTAGTTGTAGCAGATGCAAAAGATTATCCTTGGAATGTAACAAACGCTTTTGTGAATGCATTTTGATGTTACCTGTTTACTTACAAGTCCCATCTTCTTCTCTTTCGCATCCCACTTTAGACGTTCAGGTTTCCCCTGACTTAAGTCAAAGAACATCTCGCCTTTTTTGACGTAGCTGTTTCCGGGTTATTTTAACCTCTTTCAGCGTCGCCATGTCTCCCAGACCCCCTGGTCGCTCCTGCGACCAGCAGGCCTCACATTCCAGACTTTGCCGTTTCCTTGGGCTCTCATGTCCCGGCGTAGTCTTCCGCCTTGGTCGCTTGACAGGGTTCGACGCCTCACCCACCACTGGGTATCTTAGCACGAATCACCATACAACTTAGGCTTAGCGATCTCTTTTGGTCGCTCCCCTTTTTTTTTTCAAGAATTGAAAACAAGATATGCCAGAATGCTGGTTTTATTAAACTTCAAAAGAGAAATATAGATGGGATACAGTCTACTGATAAAATTTAACAAGGTTGGCGGCATTCCACACTCTAGGAACGTCGCCTCCGGACGGAGTTTGTAATCTGAATGTCCCATCAGCCAACACCTCCTTTATAATATATGGCCCTTCGAAGCTTTTGGCAAACTTTCCTCCATCGGTCGGTCGACTAACCTCCCTTTTCCGGAGGACCCAGTCGCCCACCCTGAACCGCCTTGGTCGCACCCGTTGGTCGCGATATGACTTGACCTGTCGGCGATAATTTTCTGCCCGCATGTATGCCCTTTCCCTTCGCTCATCAACGAGGTGCAATTCTGCCCTCAAGTTCTCCTCATTCTCTTGCGCATCAAACGTCTCCACTCTGTGGCTCAACAATGAGGTCTCTGCTGGAGCCCTTGCTTCAAATCCATATGTGAGCGAGAAAGGAGTTTCACCTGTGGCCTTCCTTGGGGTAGTCCTGTAGGTCCACAAGATGTAGGGCAATTCTTCCACCCAGGCACTTTTGCATTCTATGATTTTCTTCTTGAGACCGTCCATGATGGTGCGATTGGTGTTCTCGACCTGTCCATTGGTTTGAGGGTACCCAACCGCTGCATAGCTGTGACTTATGCCCCAACTCTGCAGAAACTCATTGAACCCTCCGGCCTCGAATTGGGTTCCGTTGTCAGTGATGATCTGCTGAGGCACCCCAAATCGACACAAAATTTGCTTGGAAACGAACTTCATCATCTGTCCTGCAGTGATGGTCGGTACGGGGGCGGCCTCGACCCACTTGGTGAAGTAGTCGATTGCGACCACCAGATATGTGTTGTTTCCTGTTCCTCGAGGCAAAATACCGACCAGATCAATGCCCCACCGAGCAAAAGGAATTGCCGTGCTGATTGGGGTATAATTTGTCGCCGGTCGCCCCGGCACCCGCTGGAACTCCTGGCAAACCTTGCATTTACGCACATACTCTGCACAATCTCTAATAATCGTCGGCCAGAAGTATCCTTGCAAGGTCACTTTCCTGGACATCGTGAAGGCTCCCTGGTGTGCTGAGCATATACCTTCATGGATTTCTTCCATTAACTTCTGTGCCTCGCCCGCTCTTAAGCACCTTAACAGTGTACCATTGTATGATCGCTTGTACAAACGACCGCACTCCAGCGTGTAGCTGGGTGCACGTCGCTTCACCACCTTTGCCGCGATCGGGTCGGCAGGTAGCGACCCGTCAAGGATATACATGGTAATCTCATCAATCCAATCCGGCTCTTCTCCGAGCGTGATAACCAATACTTGTCCGGGACTGACGCTTGGCTCGAGCAACTCTTCTTCTTGGGTCATTGCCTTGATGTGATCCGGAGAATCCGGACCAAGTTTTGACAGGATGTCAGCCTCAGCATTTTCTTCCCGAGGGACCTGCTCTATCCGGTACGCCCCAAATGCTTTAAGCAACTCCAGGGCAGTATCTCTATACTTCTTCATTCGTTCATCCTTGGCCTCAAACTCTCCCGTGACGTGGCCTACCACTAGCTTGGAATCACTCCGGACTTGGATCCGCTCGGCCTTTAATGAAGCTGCCAACCTTAAACCACAAAGTAGGGCCTCATATTCGGCCTCATTGTTCGAGACCTTAAACCGAAACCTCACAGAGTAGTATGCTTTGAACCCTTCTGGTGATATCTCCACGACACCACCCCCCGAAGCATCAGTCGCGGACGACCCATCGGTGTATACTGTCCACCAGTTCCCTTCGGGTTCTCCTCCATTAGGCTCTACCTCTCTCGCAGTGCATTCTACCACGAAATCTGCTAAGGCCTGCCCCTTTATCGCTGGTCGCGGCCTGAACTCTATCTGAAAAGACCCCAGGAACACCCCCCACTTGCTGACCCGTGATGGAGCATTTGGGCTGCGAAGAAGTGTCCCAATGGGGATTTGTGATAATACATAGACCGGATGGGCTTGAAAATATGGGGTAAGCTTTTTCACTGTACATACCACCGCAAAGATGGTTTTCTCCATGTTTGTATATCTCAGCTCCGCCCCTCGCAACACCCGTGCCACGTAGTATACTGGTCGCTGTACGCCCTTCTCCTCCCTCACTAGCACTGAGCTCACAGCTCGAGGAGAGATTCCTAAGTATAAGAATAAGGTCTCTCCGGGCTCTGGCTTCGAAAGCACCAGCGGGGAGAGGAGGTAGGCTTTCAACCCTTCAAAGGACCGCTGACATTCTTCGGTCGAGACAAACCCTCTGCTCTTTTTGATGGTCTGAAAGAAAGGAGCCGCTCGATCAGCTATCTTCGACAAGAAACGACTGAGAGCGGCAATCCTGCCGGTGAGCTGCTGGACTTCCTTCACGTTCCGCGGGGGTTCCATCTCCAAAATTGCCTTTACCTTCTGAGGGTTAGGCTCGATTCCTCTCCGGCTGACCATATGTCCCAGAAATTTACCCCCCTGAACCCCAAATGTGCACTTCTTGGGGTTAAGGCGAAGCTGGAACTTTTTCATGATCTTGAATACTCTCTCCAGGTCGCCGGCATGAGACTCCGTTCGTTTGGACTTGACGATCATGTCGTCCACATACGCTTCCATGCATCCTCCTAATACCGGTGCAAACAGCTTGTTCACCATCCGCGCATAAGTAGCCCCAGCATTCTTCAGACCAAAGGGCATCACCTTGTAACAGTACACCCCATTGGGGGTAATGAAAGCGGTCTTCTCTTCATCCGCCACGGCCATCTTAATCTGATGGTACCCACTGAATGCGTCCATAAAACTCATTAGCTCACACCCTGCCGTCTCATCGACCAACTGATCAATGTTGGGGAGAGGAAAAGGATCCATCAGGCAGGCTTTATTTAGATCGGTGTAGTCTACGCACATCCGCCAGGTATTCCCTTTGGGTGCGAGGACTACATTTGCAAGCCATTCCGGGTAACGGACTTCCCGGATGTGCCCAATGGACTGCAGGGTGGTCACCTGCTTGGTGACAAATTCTCTCCGTTTTGAGGAAAGGAAACGCTTCTTCTGTTTGACTGGTCTGTGGGTCGGATCCACTGCCAACCTATGACAGATGATCTTCGGGTCGACCCCTGGCATATCCTCTGGCCCCCAAGCGAATAGCACTTTGAACGCTCGGAGGACCTCCAGTAGCTGCTCCTTTAAGTTAAGCGGTAGGGTCTTACCTACCTTCACCTTCCGCTCTGGGTCGACCGGATCCAGAGAAACTTCCTCGACCTCTTCTGCTGGCTCAGCGCGCGGTCGCCCCTCCTCCTTCTGGATTGCAGCGCAGATCGTGCTTACATTCTCGTCGACCCGGGCTTGGCTTTTGGTCGCCCTGACGTAGCACGACCGTGACAGGCTTTGGTTTCCCTTGGCCACCCCCACTCCCGTGGGAGTGTTGAACTTGAGGCATAGGTGGGCCGGGGAGATCACGCACTCCAAGTCCTCCAACCCTGGTCGCCCCAGGATCTAATGGTGTGCACAATCGAGCTGCACTACCATAAATTCAATGTCGACCCAGAGTCGGTGGGTGCCATCTCCTACCCCAGCCTTCACCGTGATGGTTCCTTCAGCCTCTATAGTATCCCTGTGAACCCTGATAGTGGTGTATGAATTGGTTTCAGGTCGCTCCGGGACAACCCCAACTCCTTAAAGGTGTTGCTGTACATGACGTTGACCGAGCTACCCGTATCGACCAAGGTTCGGTGAACAACCACATTATTGATCTCCACCTTTATCACCAGAGCATCCCTATGAGGGCTGAGGACTGGGGGATAATCCTCGTCTGTAAAAACCAGGGGTTCTTTCTTCTTCCGCTTAGGTAGCGGCGGCCTCTGTACCTCGGCCAGGTACACCATGTTCTTCCATTTCTTCCGGGAGGATACTGAATCTCCCCCCGTGTTTCCTCCCATGATGAACCGGCACCCCAGGTGTCGGCGGCCTTGCCTTTCTTCTTCATCTAGGTCCTCACAGTCTCGCCCTAGATGTCGCCGCCCATCTTCCTGCCCTTCCCCCGCTGTGATCGCTGCCGCGGGAGCTGATGGCCTCCTCCAGGTCCGGTTACTCGAGGATGGTCGGTCCGCCCGAGGAAGTGGCCCCCTTGCAATCAGCTGATCCATCTCCTTCTTCAACGTAACGCACTCCGAAGTATTGTGGGTGCTGTTACGGTGGTACTCACAGTATTTGGGTGCATCTTGCACACCATAGCTTTCCCGACTATGAGGAGGGGCAGGCAACGACTGTACCGCGTGAACAGGATGTCTGTTCACATGATACCCGGTAGGGTTTGGCCCCCTACCATAGTCCTTTCTCTTCTTCCCTTCTGCCACCGGTGGTCCGCTTTTCTTCTCTTTCCAGACTGGTGGCTCATCATCATCTTCTTCTAACGCCAAGTACTTCGCCCTGGCCAACATCTCCTGGTAGGTTGAGAGAGGATTCCGTCGCAGCTCCTTGCGCACATCCCCTTGGGGGAGTGCAGCTTGGAGCATGGCGATCAGGGCCTGGTCGTCCGCCCCTTGGACGTCCCTAGCCTCTTTCTCCCACCTATTTATGAATTCCCGGAGCTGTTCCCCTTTCCGGATCTTCACATTGAGCAGATGCGAGAAGGGGAGTTTCTGCCTCCGGCTGGATGCGAAATGCTCCAAGAACTTGTGGGCCAGGTCGCTCCATCTATCTATCGACCCCTTGGGTAACTTGTGGAACCATTCACAAGCCTGCCCTTCCAGCGTCGCCAGGAAACATCGACACTTGATTTCTTCTGGGTACGCATACATGACCACGTTGGCCCCGAAGCGAGCGAGGTGTTCTTGGGGATCGGTCGTCCCGTTGTATGCCTTGATTTGGGGAGTTTTGAAATTATCTGGGAGGGGACAGGACATTATCCTTCTGGAGAAAGGCGTTACCTCGCTGAAGACCGCTTGGCGATAAGGGTTTTGGGCGTCCAGCCGTTTCTCCAGTTGTTCATACATTTTCCACAGCTCAGCGGCGCCCTTACCGGTCGTCCGTCGCTCCTCAGAGCTGACCTTGGAGGTCGCTGTGGACTCCCCTCTCTTCTCCTTGAGCGTGTCCCTCAAGTCGCCTTTTCGGGCCGACCGAGTGTCCTGCAGCCGTTCGAACCCAGAGGTCCGAGGTTTCTTTGACTTGGGGTCTCCCAAACGGTCAAAGGCAGACATCCGCTCAAAGGAGGACGACCCGTCCTCCTCGTCCAACCTGGAAAGCGCATCCGCCATCACGGCTTTCCCATTAGGCTTGGTTGCCTTCTTCTTCTGGGATCGCCTTACTTTCTTCTTTTGTTTTTGGGAGCCCGCGGGTCCAGCCTTCCCGCCTGTGGGTCCCCCGGCCACTTCTTCTACCACAACCTCGCGGTTGGGTGCAAGTGCAGCCATCACCTCTTTGAACCGTTCGGCCGTGATTCCAACCCTCTGAATGAGGGCCTCCGCCTCTCCGGTAGTGATGGGAGGGTTCCGACCTCCAGTGGTGCTGTTCTCCCCCTGTTGGGGAGCTCCGGTACCCACATTGGCGTTGCTGCGTGTTTGCACCATCGTCTTAATGGAGGATTTCCTCTGAGTATGACTCTCGAACTCTCAACAAGAGCACCAATTTGATGGACAATAAATCCACCAAATGATCCGATTTACTAAGCGGATCGTAAGAACAAAATTAAGAACGAGAATTCGAGAATTGAATATGTTTTTATTAGCTTGATCTAGCTTGGGTTTTCCCCTTTCGGGTCCCCTCTATTTATACATGGGTTCTTGATAATTAAGGTAATTCACAATCACAGGGAGTCCACTCCATCGATGACGCGATCCCCTTTTCCCGGCTTCGTAACGGCCAATCTGCTCCGTCTCCTTCTCCGGGTTGACTCTGCCAGCTGTGTTTGGCATGAGATTGATTGGGCCTAATTCCACGGGCCGGCCCAAGCTTGAGTATTTTACAGGTGCTTGACCCAGGGTTGTGTAAATGATTCATCCGGGCCGCCCACTGGTTATCGGCCCATCAGTAAGTAACAGAAAACACTCCGGATCTATATTATGTAAGCATATTTTTTTAATGCCCGTGGAATTTGATTGTGTTGCTCTAAAATATTTATTTTTATGAGTCTGGTACTCTTTGGGTGGTGGTTTCTACATCTTTTCGCATTACTTGGATGTTATGGGTGGTGCTTTGCCTGAGATAATGGATTTCAAAAGCAAGTGATTTGAAACTAAATAACTGTATACATGTGAATCTCTTTTTTGATATGTTAAAAAAAAATCACCTAATAAAATTATTAAACCAATGCAGAGGCCATGCAAGGTTCACATTGTGGGACAATGAATGCATCGAGTTGCTGGGTAGGACAACTAATAAGGTTCTTAGGGACACGATGGAAGAAGCATTCCAACTCTATTAGATTCAATATCTTTTATGGAGTAGTATTTTATAATATTATTATAAGTATTACTAATTACCAAGTACTAATATTAAAGTCTTACATCTTTTTATGTATGACTATTACGTAGCTGACTCGGAATCCAGACTTCTTCCCAATTGCATAGGTAGAGTCACTCATCAATCCTAGAGGGTGTTTAAGTTTCTCTAAAGATTAATGGAGATGATTCCATTTACAAGGGAGCCGGATCTTTGGGAATTTTTGGGATCATTACTGATCAAAATGTTCCGAGTCTGTACGAGAAAGATCAAAGTGGCAAGGTTGAAATGGACTTCTAGACGACGTCGCACCTCCTAAAGAAATGGTGGGGCTTTTATGCATTGCAAAATCTTATTGATTGCGGAGTATTTAGTGAATTTCCTAAACATTTATCTAAATATAACTTACTTATTTTGGACACTTGGATCTGCTACCAACCTTTGTGTGTTCCAGGTTGGCTCAAATGAGATCCCCAATTCAAAAGGAATTGGAATGAAGCATCATTTTGGATACACAGATAGCAGGGACCCCATCACACAGAATCTACATGAGGAGTTCTCAAGCGCAACCTATGAAGCCAAGCTGCAGTCCATCAAATTACTCCTAGAAGACTTATCTTTAATCATGAAGTTACTCCCACATACACTTTGCTAACAAAGGAAGCTAGGATGAGGGGAACTACACCGTATCTTTTATGAATATCATAATTTTTCATCTCTTCCTACTTGTGTTAGATCTGTTATCAAGCATGTCGTAGTACCCTCTTTTCATTTCCATCAATAAAGTTCTCATTTACACACACACACACACACCAACACACACATCTTAACAAAATTTCAAATTGCATTTCAGAATGGTAAAGGATGACTCAAACAAAGTACATTGGTTCTTCTAATGGTAGACCTCTCTCCCTCCCCTCTAGATATCTTCATTCGAACAATGTAATAACAGAAGTAGATGATTGTTATAAAAAAAACTGTGAATATATAGCTAACCCTCACCCTTGGACTGAAAGTGAATGAATGCGAATTAAGGCTGTTGCTGGGCATCAATGTATCCAGCATCAACAAGCACCTTCTCCCTCTTGGCAAGATCCACATCTTCATCCACCATCATCTTCACCAGTTGCTGGAACCCCACTTTGGGTTTCCAGCCCAGCACCTTCTTCGCCTTGGTCGCATCCCCTTTGAGATTGTCCACCTCTGCAGGCCTGAAGTATCGCTTGTCGATCTCCACGTGATCTTTCCAGTTCAGCCCAACATAGCCGAACGCCTCTTCCAGGAACTCCTGTACTGTGTGAGACTCCTCTGTGGCCACCACGTAATCGTCCGGCTCCTCCTGCTGTAGCATCATCCACATTGCCTCCACGTAGTCCCCGGCAAAACCCCAGTCTCTTGATGCCTGTAAGTTCCCCAGAAACAGCTTGTTCTGGAGCCCGACCTTGATGCGCCCGACCGCCCGTGTGATCTTCCTGGTCACGAAATTCTCGCCGCGCCTCGGGGATTCGTGGTTGAAGAGGATGCCATTGCAGGCGAATATCCCATACGCCTCGCGGTAATTCACCGTGTACCAATGAGCCGCACATTTGGATGCTGCGTAGGGGGATCTCGGGTGGAAAGGGGTGGACTCCGACTGGGGCGGTGGCGTGGATCCGAACATCTCCGATGACCCTGCCTGGTAGTACTTGATGTGGGACCTGCCAGTTGCGGATATGTGGGACCGCACAGCCTCTAGGAGGCGGAGCGCGCCCGTGGCTACGACATCTGCCGTGTAATCGGGGATTTCAAAAGAGACGGCGACGTGTGACTGGGCAGCAAGGTTATAGACCTCATCCGGAAGGATGACATCGAGCCAGCGGCGGAGGGAGGACGCGTCGCTGAGGTCAGCGTAGTGGAGCTTCATACGGGCTTTGTTGGCATTGTGGGGATCGATGTAGATGTGATTGATCCTCTGAGTGTTGAAATTGGAAGATCTGCGGATGAGACCGTGGACCTCGTAGGCCTTGCTCAGGAGTAATTCTGTGAGGTATGATCCGTCTTGGCCAGTGATGCCGGTGATCAGTGCTATTTTGGTCTTCGCCGGCGTGCCTACAAAACCAAAAGTGATAACAATGCAAAATAATGGAATTGCAGAAGTTCATACTAGAATCCATTACAGAAAGAATCAAAAAGTGATGAAGAATTAGCCCTAGAAATTAAAGGCGAGTGGCGCCCTCCCTGTTGAGAAGATAATAAAGACCAAGATCATAAATTAGCTGAAGGTGTAGGAAAGGAAGACGAAGAAGAAGAAGGGCGAATTGGCCGTCAATTGGGAGGGAGGGAGGGAGGCCGCAGAAACTACAAATCAATGCGGAGAATGATCGGGAAAGTCGGAAGGACATACCTGATTTGATAGAAGAATCCATCGGCGAAATCGTTGAACAGATCGAGATCCTGTGAGAAGAATGTGGATTGGATTTGCTGAGAAATGGATATTGAAGAGATGGAAGCCGTGATTTTGCAGCGCTGATTTATTCAAGAATTACCGGTCAGTGAAGCAAATTCTTAACGGTGTTTAGGTTCCAATAATAATTGAGGCAGGTTCCATGAACCAATGTCACCTGGTACTAGGGTGCTCCGGTGCTCCGTTACCCCGCCCCTATCCGAACACACTCCTTTTGACGTGGTTGGAAGGGTGAGTTGGTGTTGGGATTGAGTGTGTTTACTGAGTTAGAGGTACGAACTACTCTCTCGATCCTAAAACTATCTTCTCAGTTACTATTCATACGGTCAAATTTAAATCACTTTCTTTACCTATTTTCGCTACTTATTTGATAAAATGATATAGTCTTGTCACCTCTCGTTTTGTAGAACTTTTAATGTAGTTTTTAAATATGTAAATTTTATTTTTTTTAATTTTACACCTACAATCAAATAAATTGAATTGAAAATAAAGTCGATCAAACCTCATAAAAAATGGGCTTGAGAACAGAGAACTATAGGTGCCCCAATTTGTTAAGGGGCTTCTGAAGCCACTGAGGGCGACTTAAAATATGTAGAACCGGGCTTGAAATGTGTTCACGTGTCTATTAATTAAGATTATCAACTTTTTTGGTAAAAGTATGTAACACTTTGATTACAAATTAAATAAAGCTTTAAATAATTAAAAATCATAAAAACTTGATGTATGAGAACAATATTTTAAATGGACACAATTTTTATAAATTTACATTATAATTAAATATAATACTTTGTATACTTTTTACACACTTTGTGGTCAAGTATCGAGCAACTTGACCAAAAATATCAAATTGTAATTAAATGATATATTAATGAAAAAATAAAATAAAAATGCCAAATAAATTTAGGTAATGATAACCCATTGAAAAATACATATGTAGTATATTGCCTATATACCACGTGTTATACTTCAACAAAAACAAATCAATTTAATTTAATTTTTTAAAATGATATATAGAAAATTAAATAATTTTACAGATAAAACATTTAGAAATAAAATACAGTATATAGTTAGTAAATATATAGTTAATAAAATATAGTTAATTATTTGGTAAAAATAACAATATAAAATAAATGGTCGATTTTTATATATATATATATATATATATATATATATATATATATATATATATATATATATAATGTTAGTTTTTTTCGTGCTTCGCAAGGGCTCGCATATATTCTACTCCCTCCGTCCTAAAATTAACTTTCCAGTTTGACTTTTGTAGTCAAACTTTTTAAACTTTGACCGTAAATTGCGGGAAAAATACATTGAATTTTCATATAAATTTATTAGTAATAAATTCATTTTGAAACATAGTTTTGAAATATATAATTTTTATAAAATATATTTATATAAAAATTGAGATATTGATGGTCAAAGTGTCGCATTGGAGACTGTGAAAAGTCAAATGAAAAGTTAATTTTAGGACAGAGTGAGTAATATTTAACATCTAAAAAATAAAATTTTGTTTATTTTAATTCTTTAATAATGATATATGGGGTTTATAAAAACCTAGTAAAAATAAATATGCATTTGTGGCATCACATGTGGCATGGTGTGCACACATGAAGTCAAAAGTTTTATACAAACTAAATGATCAATGAAAAAAATAATAAAGAAATAATTTTCAATTAAAAATTTAAAATAACAAACTCCAAATGAATTAATTAAGTAATGACTCATAATGAGAAAATACATATATGACATACCACGCGTATCATTTTCAACTCTAACTTTTTTTGTTTAGTTTGTTGAAAAAAAATATACAAAATACGGAGTATATTACTATGTAATAGGGTAAAAAGTTTGAAATACTTGTGTATTTAATAAATATTTATATGTGATAAAAATGTTATAATACTACTTTGAAAATTTAATAAATTGCAATAAATGTTCTTTTTATTCAGTAATAACTGTTATTTAGTGTAAGAAAGTGAAGAGTTCATAAAATTTTAATAAAAATAAAAGTTATTTAATGTACAAAAGTGAAGGTTTTCCATGAAAATTTAATAATACTCCAATAAACATATACGTGTGGCATGACACACGCCGAGGTGTAATGCACACGTGACCTAAAAATTTTATACAAATGTAATGGTCATCAAATAAAAATTAATATAAAATGGCAAATAAATCAATTAAGTAATGACAGATCATTAGAGAATGCATATCTCTCATGTGGCGCACGTAATCCTTTAATTAAACTTTCACTTTTTTTAGTTTGCTGAAAAAATATATAATAAAATAAGGCAAAAAGTTGAAATATGTTATGAAGTTAATAAAGATGCATGTGTGATAAAGTTTATATATAATAGTTTGTTTTGAGATGATGGATAATTTTAAAAATTATAAGAAACATTGTTTTTTTCATTAATAAATTTTATATAATTTTTTAAAACTATAAAATAGTCACGCTTATTTAAAAAATGTGTCTAAAATAGTTACAAAGTGAAAATTTTATTAAAAAAGAATAAAAATAAGGGTTTTTTATTGTTGGAAAGTGAAAGGTTTATAAAATATAATAAAAATAATGATTTAATACAAAATTAAATATGCATGTGTGGAGTGACATGTGTCATGTGATTACATGTGGCATGACACTTGTCATTATTATGCACGCGTGGCATAACACGTGTCATCACCACAAATATGTAACTCTCTTTTACATATATACTAGTATTCTGACCCGTGCCATGCACGGGGTCGAAAGAAATTGATGTCGTTTCTGAATTATTTCAATGAAATTTATTTTTCGGAATAAATAAAATTTATTGCTCACATGATTTTTAATACTACAAATGAAAAAAGTCAAAGTAAAATAAATAATATTTGAGGAACAGAATGTAGAGTTAACAATATTTATTTTAATACCAAATTTTCTTAAAGACTTCAGGGTATACAACATGTTTGGTATGGTTGCAAGGGTTTCCATTGTCATCTAGAACTAATATTTTTAATCCTGTCTTTGTCTTCACTCGTGAAACAGGAAAATATAGTTGACCATGCGTGAACACTGACTTGGTTAAAAATAACCCCACAAATGACAATGTTTGACCTTGACATTTGTTGATAGTCATAGCAAAACATTAGGCGGTCGGGAATTGTCTTCTTTGGAACTTCAAGGGTAGCCCTAGATCAGATGGTACCAAATTCATTCTAGGGATGTAAACTTTTTCCCTGACTCGATTTCCCGAAACCACAATTGCATGGATAACATTGTTTCGCAACTCTTGAACGATTAATCTTGTCCCATTACACAATCTAGATGTTTGGTCAATGTTCCTCAATAGCATAATCTGTACCCCTTTTTTCAGGACTATTTTGTGGTTTGGGATTCCCGAACATTTGATTTCATTCAAAAACTCAACTGTTATCCAACCGCCATCAACACCTACATCTGCTTCTGTTTGGCACGAAGAATCAGAACTCAAGTACTCCTTTTCATCACCTGGAATGAGAGACGAAACAAATTCATTTATCATTTCAACTACTTCGAGAGTTGGTGCCAATAGTGCTCTATCCTCAAAAAAAGAATAATTTTTCATATTCTCAAACATAAGTCATTTTCCAATATAAGACTTAAACTTTTTCAAATTTTTCATTTTTCATTTTTTCAAATTTTTCATTTTTCAAATTTTTCATTTGTCATTTTCCATACTTTTTCCCAATATAATTTATCAAGTTTTTCATTTTCCATATCTGCACTAAATCGCAATAAAACAAAACACATATCTCAATATAAGACTTAAACTTTTTATCCATTAAATAACACTTAATAATGTCTAGAAGGAGAAATAATATCCAGAGACGATAAACATTTATCTAATTAATGACTAATGGATAATGACTATAAGTATATTTTCCAATTTAAAAATTATATTTGAACTTTGAATTATTTACATTGATCATTCCGAATCAAAGCCTAAATTTTTTTCCTCACATGCATATCATTTTATTTTAAAATATCTACTCATATTTTTTATATTCACCCATTTCATATCAAATTTATTGCAAATTTTTGATTTTTTTTAAATTTTTTTAAAATATGAATATATTTTTGATGAATATTACAGCGGGAAAAATAAAATAAAATAATCCGAACTTATAAAACGTTCGGATTTTACAACAAAAATAAAAGAAAGTAAAACTAGGAGTCTTCGGGAGCTCGAACGGACTTTACTTCGGACGAAAAAAAAAAAAAAAAAAAGAGGTCGCCGGAGATGTTTCTTGAACCGTAGGTAAGGAAAGCGGAGTCGCCGAAGCTTTCCTTAAGGTAGTATTGCCCGCCTCCCGCACTGGCTAACGTGAGCAATCTCCTCCCAGGATAAAACCGCTTCGTGCTAGGTCTAGAGCGGTAGAACAAAGCACCGGCGAATGATCGGAAATCGGGATGTTGCTGGAAGTTTATAACGCAGAGAGAAGTGTTTTCGAAGTATCTTCTTTCTGCAGCCAACCCCTCCTTTTATAGGAGGGGAGTTGGCTCTTCGCTTGGACTGGACGGATATTACGAGGGGACGAGTGTCCCTTCGGCCTCAAATGCATGCATGCTTCATTTGAACGGCACTTCGTTAATCACGAAGTGCCCACACGTGTTTAATTTGATCTCGTAAAAAATTAGCCCCGCCGCGGCCGCGGCCGCGGCCACGCTCCGCCCCGAGCCGGACGGACGGCGGCGGCGGCGGGCGCGCGAGGAGTCCTCTTCTTGTTCCTTTCATAAGCTCAATTCAATGCCTAAGCTTAAATATGAGAATACGAAAGGTTTAGAAACCGGTGTGGGACAAAGGCATTTATTCTACCTTAGTGTTCAACTTTGAGAATTAATTTCTCATTCACCCGAGCACCGTTCATGACGTGTCATATATCAAGACTTTCGTCTTACTTACGAGATTAATCGTCCATAATTATTTTGGAAAATAATTTTGTGGACCCAACCGAATTTATGTCCGAAAAACGTCCAATTTACTTTAATATTTCCAACAATTCCCCACATGAATGAAAATTAATTCATGTAACTGGCAATTTGAGACTTCAACTTTGGACGTTCTCATCCATCCAAAATACGGAAACTTGGATGAGGAACATTTCATATGGAAGAGATGACCGACAAGTCATCTTGCACTACAGAAACTTGACATGACGGCAAATACATTTGCTGCTATATGTTATGTGTTCAAAGTTGGTACCATCATTCCGTTCTCATGGGTGTGCCCATTATGGTCATGGAACACGTATCTGGTTCTGCGAGAGTGTCAGACAGGATCAGCCCGAAATCCTTCTGTTGAAGCGACCGCACTTCACTCTTACATAGGTGATTCTTCTAAGAGTATCCCGATTACTCCACTTGGACCTCGTTGTCCATAGTTCAAGAATCATTAAAGCGTCATGCTAACCTCATCGTTTTTGGGAGTCACTATATCTCAGTAGGAACGGAGGGGCGTTAAGTCGGTGGTCCGGCTTGCCCCCACAGTGATCGTGCTTCATTCCACAAGTAGGTTGTCCCATTGAACCCAGGTTCCACCTAGGTTGGGTTTTCCTTCATGGAACGTTCCCAGCACAGGGTAGGGCTTTCAGACCCATCCTACCACTAACTTCTCATGCTGCTCATTGGTTAACCCTTTGGTTAATGGATACGCTAAATTATCCTTCGACTTGACATAGTCAATCGAGATAATACTCGTATTGAGAAGTTGCCTAATGGTTTTGTGTCTACGGCGAATATGCCTAGACTTACCATTATACAATTTGTTCTGAGCTCTTCCTATTGCTGACTGACAGTCACAATAAATGCAAATAGGAGGAATTGGTTTTTCCCAGTTTGGAATATCCTCAAGTAAATTCCGAAGCCATTCGGCATGTTCTGCACACTTGTCTAGTGCTATGAACTCAGACTCCATGGTGGATCTGGCAATTAACGTTTGTTTTGAGGATTTCCAGGAAACAGCTGCACCGGCTAACATAAAGACAAATCCACTTCTGGATTTTGAATCCTTATTATCCGCAATCCAATTGGCATCAGTGTATCCTTCCAGTACGGGTGGATACCTGCCATAGCATAGGCTATAATCTCGAGTATACCGAAGGTATCTCATTACTCGGACTATGGCCTTCCAGTGCTCAGCACTCGGATTGCTCGTATACCTACTTAGTTTGCTAATGGCGCAAGCTAAGTCTGGCCGTGTACAGCTCATTAGATACATTAAACTTCCGATGACTCTAGCGTATTCTGTCTGAGAATCGCTACTCCCTCGGTGTTTACCAAGGTGCACATTTACGTCTATCGGCGTCTTAGCTATCTTTGTATCATCCTTGTTGAATTTCTCAAGGATCTTGTCAATGTAGTGGGATTGGCTCAAGCTCAGACCGTCCGGTCTTCTTAGTATTTTGATTCCAAGAATCACATCAGCCAGACCCAAATCTTTCATATCGAATCGTGCATTCAACATGTCCTTGGTGGACTTGACCATCCTATCGTTGCTTCCAACGATGAGTATGTCGTCTACATACAGACATAAAATGACATACCCTTCAGATGTGTCTTTAAAGTATACGCACTTATCCGACTCATTTATTTTAAAACTGTTACTCATCATTACCTCGTCAAACTTATCATGCCATACTTTTGGCGCTTGTTTTAGACCGTATAATGATTTTACAAGTTTGCAGACCTTCTTTTCTTGGCCCGGAACCTTAAACCCTTCGGGTTGTTCCATATAGATCTCTTCATCTAGTTCGCCATTTAGAAAAGCTGTCTTCACATCCATTTGGTAAACATCCAAGTTTCGTAAGGATGCAAATGCGATGATCATTCTGATAGAATCTATCCTAGTCACAGGCGCGTAAGTATCAAAGTAGTCATAGCCCTCGCGTTGGCTATACCCCTTGATCACAAGTCTAGCTTTGTACTTGTCAATGGAGCCGTCAGGCTTCATTTTCCTCCGAAAGACCCATTTGGAACCTAATGGCTTACACCCTGGAGGGAGATCAACCAGTTCCCA